TGTAGTGCATCCCAACCTCTTTTCACTCCCAAATCTTGCACTGCTTTTTTCTACCTGTCTCAAAAGTTAAAAAATGAAGTAACTCAGGCTGAACTTGACTGAGAACCATAAAAAACACAAAAGCAAAGGAAGAACAGACGCTGTTAAACACCAGAGAGAACACTTGAAATACTGTAAAATTAAAAATGTATGGATGACTTCATCTTCACTTTCGGGAAACAATTGTAGATCTTGCAGTGAAATTGACTTGTAAGTTTCATAAGAAAGAGATGTAACTGGTTTGTCAAAGAAGCTGTGAAACTACAGCGAGAGCAGTTGAAGAGAGTTGGTCTGACTTTTTGAACTGCGCATGATTAATATCAGGCAGCATGCATAAAATTATGATGAAGCATTCTTATTTTACAGAAAATGTCAAAGCTAATCTCCTGGATTTTTATGTACTTGCTGGGTACATTGAAAACAAAACTCTGAATGTCAGGAGACTCGGAAACTCAGCAGAGCAAGCTGACTGGCAATGAACAGAGAAGCAGAATGAGGGTCAGTCTGAACATATTGAGGAGGTGAAAAAAGCAACATGATGAAAGATGAAAGGAACAGCGTTTCAATGAGCCGGGACAAGATTATAAATGACTAACAAAACCAATGTGTTTTAGTTTAGAAATTAAGATACGAATGAGAGAGGACCATTGGGTTCATCTAACCCGTTTGAAGTTAGTGATGGATCCAAGGATCTCATTCAGCCATTTCTTGAAAAAAGCCAGGGTATCAGGTTCAATCACATAGTTGTGATGCTTGTTCTACACACCTCCAACCCTCAGAGTAAAGAATTGCCTCCCATTCTGTTTTAAATGGTCTTCCAAATAGTTTCCATTTTTATGCCCTTTAGTTTTTGTTTCACAGTTCATTTTGGGTTGCCTTTGTCTGTACTTTTGAGTTCTTTTGAATTCACTATCTTGAATGTGAATTCAAAAGAATAGTATCAGGTTCTACATCAATAACTGAAAATGAAGAGATGGTGATTTAAAAAAAACACACACACACACCTTAAGTCTGAGTACACAACCTGTAGTATCCAGGATAAGAAATAGCTTTCCTTGAAATTAAAGTGCTCAGACATCCAATAGTCTGAATCCAAGCAACTCTGAAAAGAGAAATCAAATATAAAGAAGCTAAACCAATTCTACATGCTTCTAAGCCAAGGGATTTAACAGACTACTCTTTGTCATTCACAATATAATGCACCATTTAAGAAAGCATTACAAAAATCCAGGTGAAATTTACAGTGGTCAAACAAGGTGAGAAGCTTAGCAGCAAGCTGATATCTGTTTATTATAATGCTGTATGTCAAGAAAATCAATTTTATGTTTATGTTCACTAGTTATGACTCTAATTGTCATTCAGGAGTGCATTCAGGAGTGGCGGATAGCCTGGGGGAGGTGCCCGGAATGCAAAAAGGTGGACTGGCAGATTGGAGCAGGGAAAACAAGTGCAGGACGGGGTTTAAGCAACCAAACTCCAGAGCTGTGCTGTCCAGAAGGCACGGTCCACCCTCCCATGCCGGGCAGGAAACTCTGAATATGAGCGGTCAGACCAGAGGGCACCAGGAAACGAGCTGATTCCAGGTGCATGCCCTCAGGGGGGTCTCCTCTATAGGTCAAGCCAGACGTGCGCTATCAACACTATCTCCCGGAAGGCGGTCCTCCGGGGAAGCGACTGGAAGTGAACAGAACCTGTTTCCGATGTACCTTCTGGACACCGGGTCGACAGACACATCTGAGGTTAGGTCCCCGCTTCAGACATGTCATCTGCCTGCCGTTCTCCTTCGTGTCTCATCTGCCTGCCGTTCTCCTTCTGTTTCCCCTGCGCATCTCATCTGCCTGCCGATCTCCTTCGCATCTCATCTGCCTGCCGTTCTCCTTCTGTTTCCCCTG